CCCTCCCTACACCTCCCTCCCTCCCTCCCTACACCTCCCTCCCTCCCTCCCTCCCTCCCTCCTCCCTCCACTACACCTCCCTCCTCCCCTCCCTCCCACTACACCTCCCTCCCCTCCCCCTCCCTCCCTCCCCACCTCCCTCCCTACACCTCCCTCCCTCCCTCCCTACACCTCCCCTCCCCTCCCTCCCTACACCTCCCCTCCCCTCCCTCCCTACCCCTCCCTCCCCACACCTCCCCTTCTCCCTACCCTCCTCAATACTACCCCCCCCCACTGTGTGTGCCCTCCACCCGATTGTACAAGCACACACACACACACACTGGGGCGACTGACGCCAAGGCAGAACAATGTAGTATTGTTATGGTGTATTATAACCTTGAGTTGTTAGTAGTTATTGTTTAGGCAACAACAACACACACACACACACACACACACGGTATATTATTTGGTGATGGGGTGTTGAGTGCGATGACTTAACACCTTGAGTATGATGACTTGACCCCTTGAGTATGATGACTTAACACCTTCAGTATGATGACTTAACACCTTGAGTATGATGACTTGACCCTTGAGTATGATGACAACACCTTCAGTATGATGACAACACCTTGAGTATGATGACTTGACCCTTGAGTATGATGACTTAACACCTTCAGTATGATGACTTAACACCTTGAGTATGATGACAACCCTTGGGTATGATGACTTAACACCTTGAGTATGATGACTTAACCCTTCAGTATGATGACTTAACACCTTGAGTATGATGACTTAACCCTTGGTATGATGACTTACCTTCAGTATGATGACTTAACCCCTTAATTATGATAACACCTTCAGTATGATGACTTACCTTCAGTATGATGACTTAACACCTTCAGTATGATGACAACGCAGTATGATGACAACCTTGAGTATGATGGCTTAACCCCTTGGTATGATGACCTTGAGTATGATGACAACCCTTGAGTATGATGACAACCCCTTAGATGGTAACCCCGCAGTATGATGACAACACCCAGGTATGATGACTTAACACCGAGGTGTGATGACAACACCTTGAGTATGATGACTTAACCCCAGGTATGATGACAACACCTTGAGTGATGACAACGCCAGGTATGATGACTTAACCTTGAGTATGATGACAACACCTTGAGTATGATGACAACACCTTGAGTATGATGACTTAACACCTTGAGTATGATGACAACACCTTGAGTATGATGACTTAACACCTTGAGTATGATGACTTAATCATGAGGTATGATGAAACACCCTTGAGTATGATGACTTAACACCATGAGTGTGATGACTTAACACCTTGAGTATGATGACTCAACCCCAGGTATGATGACAACCTTGAGGTATGATGACTTAACACCATGAGTGTGACTTAACACCTTGAGTATGATGACTTAACCCTTGGTATGATGAGCAACCCCTTGGTATGATGACTTAACCCTTGATATGATAGGCAACACATGGCAGGTATGATGACAACACCTTGGAGTATGATGACTTAACACCTTGAGTATGATGACAACCACCGCAGGTATGATGAAGCTTAACACCTTGAGTATGATGACTTAATCATAAGGTATGATGAAACAGCCCTTGGGTATGATGACTTAACACCATGAGTGTGATGACTTAACACCTTGAGTGTAGTGAAGCAACGCCAGGTATGATGACAACCTTAAGGTATGATGACAACACCATGAGTGTGACTTTAACACGCGAGTATGATGACTTAACCCTTGGTACTGATGAAGCAACCCCTTGGTATGATGACTTAGCCCATGAGTATGATGACTTAACACATGAGGTGTGATGACAACACCATGAGTGTGATGGCTTAACCCTTAATTATGATGGCTTAACCCCTTGAGGTATGATGACAACACCGCCAGGTGTGATGACAACACCTTGAGTATGATGACAACCCTTGGGTATGATGACAACAACCCTTGAGGTGTGATGTTACTTTTGAGGTATGGTGACAACGCCAGGTATGATGAAACAACGCCAGGTATGATGACAACACCATGGTATGATGACAACCCCTTGAGTATGATGACAGCAGCAATTATGACAACCCCTTGGTATATTGACAACTTGCCAAGGTATGATGACTTAGCCTTGAGTATGATGACAACACCTTGGAGTATGATGACAACACATGAGTATGATGACTTAACCCCTTGAGTATGATGACTTAACACCTTGAGTATGATGACTTAATCCCTTGAGTATGATGACTTAACCCCTTGAGTATGATGACTTAACACCATGAGTGTGATGACTTAACCCCTTGAGTATGATGACTTAACCCCTTGAGTATGATGACTTAACACCTTGAGTATGATGACTTAACACCTTGAGTATGATGACTTAACACCATGAGTGTGATGATTTAACACCTTGAGTATGATGACTTAACACCATGAGTGTGATGATTTAACACCTTGAGTGTGATGACTAACATTTTCAACTGAAACAGGGGGTTAAGTTATTACCCTCAAAAGGTCCTGTAGTTCGGAGTTGATCAGGTTAATTCATCACCAGCTTTAGTCAACTTCACCTCTACTCTACGCCCAAAATTCTCTAATCTTAACATTTTAGCTTTATCGAGTATTTTAATGTTAATAATTCATAATTTGTTGTTGGCGGGTGAGGTGAACACATCTTAATAATGTTTCTTGTTTGTTTGTTTTAATGTTTATAGCCTGAATATTTTACAAAATATAATACAGTTCTTGTATGTTAAAGGGCACTGAATTTTCCTTCACAAAATATAATAAAAAACTGGATAATCATCATAGAGTAAAACAAATAAGTTAATTTTTTTTTATTGTTTTCATAAAAATACATAAAAAAATCAATACGTGGATTGGGTGGTTTTCTCCCGATTCACCATATGTCGGCCGTGACGAGCGGCACTGGCGCGGGCTTCAGCCACTCTGTTTGGGGTGGCCGGCACAACATGGTGCACGACGGTGGGCTTAATCTGTTTTGCCACCAACCGCCACACACGGGCCCACAAACGTTCGATGCTTGATACGATATTACACGACCCTATACGTGTCTCTTTGGGGCTCATGCCCACTATTTTCATTCCCCAGTCCATCATTCGTAGGTTTTCCTCTGCCAAGTTCATTAACTCCCGTGTTGAGGAAACGGTATTGGTGATGTTGGAGATGACATTGGTCGAAATTTGCTTGCCGTGTTTTTGTCGTAGATGGACAATCAATCTTTCAACCCTCGATGTCATGCGTCGGGCTTTCTCTACACGCTGAACGACTGGGTATTTAGCAGCTAATAATAGCCCTCCCGAGAACAATCGCTGGTTTAGGTCGCGCGCCACTTGTGTTGACGTCATTTCCTGTATTTTCTCCTCCATTGCCTTTTTCTCTTGAGATACTTTTTAGCTAATTAATTTTGAAATATCCGATGGATTAATTTTCTTCACAAGCTGCAGGATTGAACGTCGTGCATCTTTTGGTGTTTTCGCGGTCTCGTACTCGTGAGACCCGAGCAGTTCGGTCAAGGCAAAACACCTATCACCGATAGCAGTGTTTGGCTGTTTTGTGGAGTTTATTTGCGATACAGATTCCTGTAGGTTGTGACGGAGTATACTCGCAATAACATTATCGTGAATAACATCCTTTAAAACAGACCAGATTTCCGGCTCAATAAACTTCTCAGCAATGTTGAGAATATCTTGGTTAATATAAGACTTCATTCTCGTAATTTAATAAACTTACTCCTCTGGTATATCACCCTCGATGTAGTTATACACAATCGTGTATCAAAATGTAGGAAGAGGTTCTCATACAGGAATGTTAAAGTGAACAGATAGTAATGATGTTATAGTGAACGTACTAGTGATGTAGTGAACAAGTAGTACTAGTGTTATAGTGAACATGTGGTAGTAATGTTGTAGTAAACATGTGATACTAGTGTTGTAGTGAACATGTGGTACTAGTGTTGTAGTGAACATGTGGTACTAGTGTTGTAGTGAACATGTGGTACTAGTGTTGTAGTGAACATGTGATACTAGTGTTGTAGTGAATGTGTTACTAGTGTTGTAGTGAACATGTGATACTAGTGTTGTAGTGAATGTGTTACTAGTGTTGTAGTGAACATGTAGTACTAGTGTTGTAGTGAATGTGTTACTAGTGTTGTAGTGAACATGTAGTACTAGTGTTGTAGTGAACATGTAGTACTAGTGTTGTAGTGAACATGTGATACTAGTGTTGTAGTGAATGTGTTACTAGTGTTGTAGTGAACAAGTAGTACTAGTGTTATAGTGAACTAGTAATGTTTAGTATGTGATACAGTGTTGTGGTGAAGTAATGTTGTAGTAAACATGTGATACTAGTGTTGTAGTGAACATGAACTAGTGTTGTAGTGATACTAGTGTTGTAGTACAGTGTGTGTTACTAGTGTTGTAGTGAACATGTAGTACTAGTGTTGTAGTGAATGTGTTACTAGTGTTGTAGTGAACATGTAGTACTAGTGTTGTAGTGAATGTGTTACTAGTGTTGTAGTGAACATGTAGTACTAGTGTTGTAGTGAATGTGTTACTAGTGTTGTAGTGAACATGTAGTACTAGTGTTGTAGTGAATGTGTTACTAGTGTTGTAGTGAACATGTAGTACTAGTGTTGTAGTGAACATGTGGTACTAGTGATGTACTGTAGTAATAATTTGTATGTGTGGTGATAGTTTAAATAATGATGTGCTGACATATAAACTGTACTTGTCTTTACGTTGATTATTTATGCGTTGGGGTGAAATTTATGTTATAGTTATGATATATGACTATAATGTGATCCAAGGGGAAACAGTTATGGACGTACTGTCTAGATATGATTGTTAGATGGAGAGATAGATATATGTGCGTCAGCTATTGTAAATCTTCCTATTTATTTATCTATCTACACACAAACAAAGTATATACGAGAAAAAAGAAAACAATTTTTTTTAAGCTAGTAGTCTCTGGCTCAGGTGGTGACGTCACACAGTGTGGACGTCAACAAACTTCTGCCACCGACTGACACTCAGACCTGCCACATTCATTATTACCTTTATTACTTTAATTACTTTATCAAAAAAGGAAACGGTACTTGTCGACATACCCAGACACCTGCCCAGTGGTCATAAGAGGAGTCTTGTCGCCTGTAACGTACCTAGGAGTTAATAAGCCCACTCGGTACGATGTGATGTGTTCATTTAGTGGTCCCCGGTGCTCCTATAGTGGCCCTTGATGCTCCTATAGTGGCCCTTGATGCTCCTATATTGGCCCTTGATGCTCCTATAGTGGTCCCCGGTGCTCCTATAGTGGCCCTTGATGCTCCTATAGTGGCCCTTGATGCTCCTATATTGGCCCTTGATGCTCCTATAGTGGTCCCCGGTGCTCCTATAGTGGTCCCCGGTGCTCCTATAGTGGCTCTTTGTGTTCCTATAGTGGCCCTTGATGCTCCTATAGTGGCCCTTGATGCTCCTATAGTGGCCCTTGATGCTCCTATAGTGGTCATTGATGCTCCTATAGTGGCCCTTAATGCTCCTATAGTGGTCATTGATGCTTCTATAGTGGTCATTGATGCTCCTATAGTGGCCCTTGATGTTCCTATAGTGGCTCTTTGTGTTCCTATAGTGGCCCTTGATGCTCCTATAGTGGTGATCCTAATGCTCCTATAGTGGTCTGCTTCTATAGTAGTCATTGATGCTCCTGTGTAGTGGCTCCTATAGTGGCCCTTGATGCTCCTATAGTGGCCCTTGATGCTCCTATAGTGGTCATTGATGCTCCTATAGTGGCCCTTAATGCTCCTATAGTGGTCATTGATGCTTCTATAGTGGTCATTGATGCTCCTATAGTGGCCCTTGATGCTCCTATAGTGGTCATTGATGCTCCTATAGTGGTCCTTCGTACTCCTATAGTGGTCCTTCGTACTCCTATAGTGGTCCTTCGTACTCCTATAGTGGTCCTTCGTACTCCTATAGTGGTCCTTCGTACTCCTATAGTGGTCCTTTGTACTCTTATAGTGCTCCTGTGTACTCCTTGATGCTCCTATAGTGGTCATTGATGCTCCTATAGTGTTGCTTGGTGTTCCTTATAGCTTGTATGGCTACTTAGGGTATACGGAGCCCCATTAGTGATCTCGGTACTTTAATATTTTTCAGACGTGAGTGAAGATGTCGGGAAGTTCAGTGTTGTACAGCGTGGTGGACTCATGGGTGGGCAGCCTGACGATAAATCTTCTCTGCTACTCTACCGTATTCATTCCTGGCTATTTTTTAATTCAGTATTTCAAGAAATCTAAATATATTGAAAGAGCAGGTGAGATTTTTATAAGCAGGAACGTTGTAGGATGTTCATCTATCATTTGTATTCTCTTAGTAAACATAACCTGGAAAAGGTTAGGTTATGATTAAGTTAGGTTATGATTTAGTTAGCTTAGGTTATGATTAGGTATGATTAGTTTAGGTAAGGTTATGATTAGGTTAGGTTCTCTAATATACTGTAGAATAGGCCCTAATGTGGTACAATTACTTGATGTTATCTGTGTGATCCTCCAATATCTAGTCACTTCACGTTGTCTTGCTGTTTTTTAAGTTATACTCTTGACTTGACGAACCTCATCATAATGATATTGTAGCTACCTGGTGTTTCTGAACTGTTTTATGGGGAAATATGTGAAGGAAACTTTTGATTTCCAGAAGGTGTTAGTTCCTGGAGAATAATGTGGATACAGTGAAACCTCTGTATAATGCACTTCTCTCTCCATATAATCTGTGACATGGGGAGGTTTCATATCTAACGAACCCTTAATGTGACAGATTTTCATCTCTATATTGTTCTTTAGATGGAAGTTTTATACCTAATGGACCCTCGATATCACAGACTTTCATCTCCATATAGTCCATTAAATAGAGGTTTCACTATCAGTTTTATGGAAATGGATTTAAATTACTGTACTTATCATTATCATCACTAGCCAGTCAGGATGGTTGGAATGGTCTGTTATGACCTTCATTGTCCAGTGTTAGTACAGGAGGAAACAGTAGTACCCAGAGTATCTTCCATGTTTGGGAGGGTCACACTGGATAATCCCTCTTTCACATGACCTGGGAATTGAACTCCAGGATGCAGTGATGAGAGGCAGGTGTGTTAACATAAGAACATAAGAAAATAAGGAGCCTGCAATAGGCCGGTTGGCCTGTGCATGGCAGCTCCTGTCGAGAGTTACTACCACTCTCCATCATCCATGAATCTATCTAGCCTCCTTTTGAAACTTTCCAGAGTTCCTGCACTTACTACAAAGTTGCTAAGCTTGTTCCACTCGTCCACCACCCTATTTGTGAACCAGTTTCTTCCTATCTCCCTCCTAAACCTAAACTTATCCAACTTGGTGTTGGTGTTAGACGAAATGGGATTAATTCCAGGCCTACAACATCTGCCTCCAAGTCCACTAGCTTTAACAATAACAACCTAACAACCTAAGTTCAGTCGCCCATTATAGTAAGGATTATTACCTAAACTATTTGTGAGTGAATTGTGGTGGTATGGAAACACAGAATGCAGCAGGAGTTTTATTCTCTTATGTTTTGGTGTTGTCTATTTGTGTTATAGTTTGTATTAGGAATGGTAAATTGACCAATACGACTGAATGCATACATTAACTCTCATAATAATACAGTAACTATAGACAGATTCATCACACAGGTTTGGGCACACTGTCCAAGTTGATCACGTCATGCGTATACGGGCAGGGTTACGACAAGCTGGTGACGACGGACTTGCCACCAGCACCCAGAACTCCAGCACCAGAGCGGAGCATGTCAAGCAAGTGTTTACAACTCATTTTCTGCTTTCTGGGTCTTCAGGCTTCATACCTTACGTGGGGCGTCCTGCAGGAGAAGATTATGACAAAGGTTGGTTGATGGTTTGTACAGCAATGTGTTCAACAAAACCTATATGTCAAGATGTGTGTGTGTGTGTGTTATATATTGTATGTTTGTCAAAAAGAATAAGATACTTTGTAGTACAGTATTCCTGGTTGGATCGCCTGATTACTGGACACCCCACCTTATTTCACCTGATTAATTATTAAACACCTTAATACTACTATCTGACGGGTTAGGTTAATTTAGGTTAACATTAGAGTAGTTAATGTTCAGGTGAAATAATCCGGGGTTGTTTAATCATCAGGTTATCTAGAATGTTTTAGTTTCAGTTGAGAAGCAGGTTTTTTGTATTACTGTATGGAGCAAGGTAGGAACAAGGGTGTGGTGTTGGAGGGCATCATACAGTACCTCACAAGCACAGGAAAGATTTCTTGGTGGAATATCATGAAGTAATTTACTATCTTCTTTCTTCAGGAGTACCAGAGCTCAGAGGGCAACATCGGCCACTTCAGGGACTCTCAGTTCTTGGTGTTTGTTAATCGTATATTGGCGTTCCTGCTGGCGGCCACCTACCTCGGCTTCACCAGACAGCCTCGACACACAGCACCCATCTACAAGTACTCCTATTGCTCGTTTTCCAACATCATGAGCTCCTGGTGTCAGTACGAAGCCCTCAAGTATGTCACCTTCCCTACACAGGTGAGTGAATTATACACAGGTGAGTAAATTACCTCCATTGTTGACCCACGTTGAAACTTCTATTTAGTGGACTACTGTATATGGAGAGGAAAGTCCATTATATCGAGGGTCCTCCAGATGTGGAACCTCCATATGACAAACTATGTAGATAAGAAAGTCTTTTATATTGTGGTTCCATTAGATGTGAAAACCCCCACTAATGGATTATATGGAGAGAGAAGTCCATTGTGTGGAGGCTTCTATAGTAGTGATGTCATGTAGAGTCTCAAACAATTAACACAACTCTTAAGACTCCCAGTTTAATTACGTTTCCAACTTGTGGTGTCTGAGAGGAAATGATAACAAGCAAGTAGAGTGGTTGGGGAGGTAGGAATGGGTGTTATCAATCAGTGTTGTGTAATATTGCCATTATCCTGTCCAGTATGTGCTTGTCTTAATGAACAAGAGCTGTTACTCCTGAATTTCTTAGGTTTATGCTAATCGTGTTTCCGTAAAATTGCCTTCAAGTACAGTACAGGACTGTATTTAATGAAGAACAGCGGCCAGCAGCAACCGATATGAATAAAATACTGTTAATATATTCTTAAAATTTATGAATTATTCTCTTCATCCATTTCCCACTTTTTATCCTAGGAGGAATTATCATTAATCCTTTGTCAACAACTTGTAATAATAAGCATGTTGATGATATTTATTAAGTATTTGTACAATTGTCATAAGGGTTTACAATTGAATAGTCATGTAGTATATAAACTATGCAGTTAGGTTAGGTTGTATGTAGGTCATGGCAGTACACAGTTACCTATGTGCCTAGACAGTTCAGATATATAACAATGGTTTGGTTAGGTTATAAATGGAAGATTAAAGTGCGAGATCTCGTTTTATAGCCTAGGGAGTAGATTCCGGTGACCTATCTTCCTGCCCACATCCCAAAGTGATGTTCTTAGTTGGCAGGATCTGAGGACTGAACTGTGGTAGCTACTTGTAATTATCTATGTGAGGGTCATGAGACAGGAATGGATATATCGAGGCAGTGGACAGTGATCTTGAAGTACAGTACCCGTACAGTAAAATCACCAAGTAAATTATTTTGCTCTCTACATAATCCGTTTATGTGGGCGGGTTTCACATCTAACTGACCCTAGATACAACAGACATTAATCTCCATATAGTTGGTTAGATGAAGGCTTCACATCTAATGGACCCTCGACATAACAGACATCCCTCTCTGTGTAGTCCATTAAATAGAGGTTTTGCTGTAATAACTTGTGTTTTAGCGGTTCAAAGTACTGTATAGCCTTATCTCTGGTTCACTGGTATGGGAACTGTACGCAGCACATTTGCTGGCCTGACTATGTATTATTTACTGCTTGTGGCCAGGTTGGTGAGGGGTCGTGCGTGCAGAAGCATCACAGGTCATTCACCATCATCTTATCTCAACAATTAAATGAGATACATTTTTCTCATTCTTCTACAGGTGTTGGCCAAAGCCTCAAAAATTATTCCTACTATGATAATGGGCAAGATTGTTAGTGAAAAGAAGTACGAGTATTTTGAGTATGTGACCGCTGTGCTCATATCATTCGGCATGACCATGTTCCTGCTGGGGTCGACTGAATCTAAAGGGAGTATGTGATTTTTGTCTTCAGTCGTTTACCATCACGACTGTTTTCATCTTTGTTATATACTCTTCTTGTCTACATCCTCAGTCCATTTTTCATTTGCCTTTTCTCGCTTATTATCCTTGCTCAATATATACAGGGTGTCACAAAAAATGTATATACAATAGCTTACAGATATTTGTGATTGTTCGATTCCTTGCAATACAACAGCCACATTGTCCTTCTTTGTTGATGTGTGAGGTGCCCCATAATGTTCTGGGGGGACCTCGCATATGGATCAACGAGTGAGGACAGTGTTGCTGGTACACAGTATTCCAAGCATTCATGTAATCACCACAAAAACCTGTCAGGCAGTGTGTGCATATATTTTCTTGAGACACTGTATAAACATAGTGTTGTCCATAGACCAATGATGTCGTAAAGACCACAAACCAGACCCTTTATAAATATAATACTGTAATTTATAATATTTTAAGCATAGTTTTGAATATTATGTGTTTTTATCTGTAATTTTATGCCGGGTTCAACCCTCGTGTATGGGTTCCCCTCTGCTGAATAAAATCATCTGCCATTAGTAAAATGAAATATTAAAAGTGGTGTCCCCCATAGTGAAAGGGTTAAATGAAAACCCTTTCAAGTGAATATGGCATTACATGATTAACTGTTACTGTGCCAGATGATCTATACACAATCAATCGGTCAGTCAGTCAATCAATCAATCAATCAGTTGGTCTTATGGTAGCAGTTGTTGGGTTACTGTGATATACCGGTGGATGTACAGTCTACTACTAAAGTCCATTCACCTCTCCCCCTGAACCATGGACCCCCGAGAGATTCAGGCTCATGAACCTCAAAAATTTATGAATAGAATAATGTATCGGTCTAGTGCTTCAGGTTCACAAGTCTGAATATTGGGTTTTGTGGTGCAGGGGGAGAGGCAAATGGACTTTTGTAGTTGAATGTACAGTACGTACTGTAGATAGCACACAAAATATTATTACCACTACTGAAACAAGATGTGAAATAACATGTACTGAAAAAAGATCAAATGTAGGCTATAGTAGTTAAAATTTCCCCAGGAAAGTATTACAGGAAAACCTCGAGATATGATGGAGTTAGGTTCCTGAAAACCCATCGCTAGGTGTATTAGTGTAAATAGGGAGGATTATAATATAGAGTTCAATGGGATACATTCTCAGCCAGTCCCCAAACACACATGTATCACTGACAAAAAAATTCCTGCAATACTAATATCAGTACAAAATAATTAAACAACACTCACCACATCCTGAAGAACATGCCTAGTCATCATCACTTATCCCTTTTGAGGCTAAGGGGACTCTTGTAGGTGGAGTGGAGACGTCACTCTGACTCCCACACATCCTTTGGGGAGTCTCATGCTGCTTAATGATGCCAAGCTTTGCAAAAGTTAACTTCTCCCACTTCTCCCCCCCCCCCCCAAATTTGGTCATAAAAACTTGTACTATTCAAAGAGTATATATGGTAGAAGGCTTACTGTGTGTATGGTGTGGTGCAAGTGTGTGTGTGGTGAGAGGATTTGTGTGGTGCAAGTGTGTGTGGTGAGTGTTTGTGTGGTGAGTGTGTTTGTGTGGTGAGAGGATTTGTGTGGTGCAAGTGTGTGTGGTGAGAGTGTGTGTGTGTGGTGCGAGTGTGTGTGGTGTGTGTGTCCGTGCTTATATATATACAAAACTGTAATGTAGAGTATGATTACTGATCTGTGTTACTCTGTTCATCCTGACAGACTCGAGCAGCAGCACCACCTTGTCTGGGATCATCATTCTCATAGGTTACATGTCATTTGACGCCTTCACCTCCAATTGGCAAGGGGAGCTCTTCTCTCAGCACAAGATGTCTTCGGTTCAGATGATGTGCGGTGTTAACCTCTTCTCTTGCCTCTTCACCACGACATCTCTGATGCAGCAGGGAGGCTTCTCTACGTCTTTTAACTTCATGCTTACCTATCCAGCGTTTTTCTGGGACAGCCTCATTCTTTCGGTAAATTCTTATCATTTTCAAGTATGGGCATAATGATTATATCTTATTTATTGACTTGACAGGTGTTAAGATTCTTGATAATACTTCATGCACAGTCAACCACTAAAGTCTGTACATTCGCCTCTTCCCCTGAACCACTTACCCCAAAGATATTCAGACTCATGAATCCGAAGCAATTATGGACAGAATAATGTATCCGTCTACTGCTTCTGGTTCATAAGTCTGAATCTCTTGGGGGTTCGTGGTTCAGGGGGGAGAGGTGAATGGGCTTTAGTAGTTGACTGTACAGGGAATGTTGGTGGTACAGTAGTATAACACCTTTGCCTTGCCTCTCACTACTGTGTCCTGGTTTTGATACCGGGTTAGATGTGAGAAGGGTGTTCTCCAGTGTGACGCTACTGTACATTGTAGGTCTTCTTTTAGTCACTCCACTGCTAACACTTGACTCTTTGAAGGGTTAAACTCCTGAGGAATAATGGTAGGATTAAACAAGCCACCAGCTCCTGTTTCCCATTAGTTGTGTGTGTGATTTTTAAGAGAATTATTCGTTCACAGATTTGTTCCGCCACTGGCCAGTTGTTCATCTACCACACCATCTCCCTCTTTGGTCCTGTCGTCTTCATCATCATCATGACTATACGTCAGGTGGGAGCCAACATTTTGACCTCACCGTCAAGTTACACAACACTATGACAAAATAATAATTACTCTCGTTTTCATAATACCTTTTTGAAAGTGATCGTGTGGTTAGATTTAACGACCTTTTCTTGTGCCGCTTAATACCTGTAAGTTGCAGTGATATAGTCGAGACTAGGTCCATGAATGAAACCATAGTTTTAGCCTTTATCGTTCTTCAGAAGATTAACCTCCTAAGGCAGTAGTTCCCAAACATTTTTTGGTTGCGACCCTAAATACAATCTCGTCCTGACCTGGTGACCCTAACTGTGGGTAAATGTAGTGTTAATTATCAATCATTTGCATATGTTGTGTTTATTCATATAGTTTTATTGAATTAATTTAAATGAAAAACACAAATTTTCATGAAAATTAGACTTTATTACATAATTCGGTAGCCTCCATAACAAAATCAAAATTTTTCTGTGGCTAATGTGATGCTGCTTTATTGTTGGAGTGAGCTCTTTTGAGTTTCGATTGTATGGTGATAATTTTTAATAATTAGTAGAATAAAGCTCAGAATCTTCCCTCGAGAGAGCCAACGGACATCAGAGTGGAACAGCAAGACCTGGTGATGTGATCCTATCTCTTCATGCATTTTATGGAAAATACATGAATTTAAAGCCCCAGCCTTGGCATAATTCACAATTTGGATAGCATCATTGAGAGCTACATGGAGGTGTGGTTGCAAATGCTGAAAGGCAAGGTTTTCCCGATGTTAGAAACGGTGAATTATTATGATATGACGGTTTTCTGCTTTAACGTGAGTAACAAAACCCCCACAACTTCCCATCATTGACGGAGCGCCATCAGTGTACACAGCCAAACAATGCAACCAGTCTAGATCATGTTTCCTGAGAAAATTGTTCATCATATTGAAGATGTCTTCTTCAGTGGTGGTACTTGATAGAGCATTACAAAAGAGAAATTCTTACAGATGCTGTCTTCTCTCTACCTTACAAATACCATGAGTTGAGGGTCACCTGCTATGTCTACAGTTTCATCCATCTGCAACGTAGTAACGTTGCAACTGAGCAAGGAGTGTCAGGGTCAAGGCTACTCGCTGGTTTGCTTGGTGCACGAGTATTGGACGTGAACAGACTCGAACATTACTATGTTCAGTGTATATGGATGCTTTATCAACCACAACTATTCTACTTTACTTAGTATTTCAATAATTCTAAATATTGTGCCAGTGATGTGATCCAATTATAATACAGTATTGCAATATTTCATAATTTTGCCTTTTCTTTTCCGAGACCGTTCCTCGACCCTCAGGAACACCCTTTCGACCATGGGTTTGGGAACCACCGCCCTAAGGCCTAAGTGCTCACATGATGTTTAACTGTTTTACTCCTCAACTTAACCAGCCTGTGTTTAACCACCCCAGACTTATCTGAGGGGGGTAATCTTCAAGTGATCCTTACAGGCTAAGAGTGTGAATAGCCTCAGTTAGATGTTCAAAGATATATTTTACATATGCATGTGTGAAAAATGTACAAAATAGTACTGTTGGTAATCCCATATTGTTTTGTTTCACTCGTAGGGTTTGGCCATCCTCCTGTCATGCCTCATCTACTCTCATCCTGTGAGTCTAATGGGAGTGCTCGGGATCTTCATGGTGTTTATGGCCATCTTCCTACGCGTTTACTGTAGTCACCGGCTCAAGCAACTCCAACAACGGAGAGCCGGAGGAGACACGACCAAGGTCTAGGTTCCATCACTGCCTTTGTGGTGGCGGCTTGAAGCTTCCCAAAAGTTATGTGCCTGAATATTTGTAATACCGTAGAGACGTGGTAGTTAATGTAGCTTATTCAACACTTGGTATCTCTCATATTATCTGAACGAAAGGTTTATTTACTGCATCTTTCTCTTGTGGGTCTTGATAGGTATCGAGGCTCACACGTGTCACACCTCCTTTTATACAGTTTATCTCCGTCATTCGTAGATATTTGTTGTTGAAATTTGGGCATTAATGAGTATTATGTGAAGAAATTGCTTAAAAATATATGGGCTTTTGTTCAGCTAGAGCCTTTGATAAGTGTCATGAGTGTGCGGTATTTATGGTTAATGCCATGACACAACAGGTAAGAGATATGGCTGAGATGTAGTGACCAGATATCATTAGTGTCCTAACCATTTCTGCTTGTCATGGCTTAGCTGGGACACACACACGTACACAAAACAACACACACACACACACACACACACAATAACTAAACAGATTTACCTGTAAAAAGCTAAAAGTTTAGAGGTTGAACTATCACACATGGGAAGAAGAGCACCATGATTTTTGGGCGAGTTAAGAGTTCACTAAAATGACTGATCTATACTACAGAAGCTGTTGGTCTTGCTTCATGATGTTCCATTTCATCATTGTGTTATTTTATTTTACAGAGCTACACGGTCAAAATTATTGTTAAATCTTCATCGGCCAGTAGTGACGTCTAAGTTATGCTGGTGGCTCTCGGGCAACTAACTGTCTTTGTATTAAACACAAAACAGTTATTATTTATTAAGATATGAGTATCTCTCCATCACTGCATGCCATTTTGTTGTACTGAATAGCAATTATCTATCACTATGATCAACAGAAATAATTATTCAAAACTGAAAGGTGTGATTCTGGGCGATTATAATGTATTAAGAGATCCTGAACCACCGCCTTACTTTTCCCATAAGAGGTTAAGTTTAATAGTTTAATTTAAGTGGATTTGTTGTACAGTCACTCAAGAAATTATCTTTACTTGGGGGGGAGGGGGGCAATGTTTCTAGCATGAACACTGACTTCTGTTGTCTTGGTGAGGTTGTCAAAGTCCTCCTTCCGTTGTCATATTTTTTCAACACAATTTTGTGGGAATAGTTTTTTGAGTGACTGTACAGGAACTTAACTCCAACATCAATAGATTTGTTATTGTGTTTGTTAGTACAGTACAATGTAGGGTTGACAGAACCTAAATCATAAATGCATTGTATAATAATCATATACAAGTACAGTATATATATAGTCAGCACTAAATACTCATATACAAATTAAAATATATATTATAAAATGGAAATTTATGAAAATAAGATCAAAATACAAGTTTCTAGGTATATTAAGCTTATATAAAAGTATTAGAGAATGTAAGGTGGCTGGCAGTCAACTGTTCTGCCTTATTAATTCATTTGAAGTTTTAGCATGGAAGTAACTGTAGTGAAGTTGAGACCACAAACAAGACCCTTCACACTTTAGCCTTTGTGTATCACCTGAAGATTACACCCCCAAGTACTCACCAGAGGTCAACACCTCCCTCCCTAACCAGCTTGAATTTGTATAGCACCAACATTACTTAGGGGATAATCTAAAGGTGATCTGCAAAGGCTTAAGTGTGAATGGTCTTGTTTGTGGCATTGACTATATCACTGCATAGCAAACTAATCAGAGAAATTAAATTACAGTAATTTTTGAGTAACATGTATTGTGAGTGAGTGCAGTCACAGGTTCACCTCAGTCTCTGGGGAGCCTCACTGTGGTCACCAGGTCTGAAGTTTGTAGTGTATGGATGGATAACTATCACACTACTTGAGATAAACATTACACTCAGGTATTTAGCAACATCAAGCATAATAGCCATGTCATAAAAATAAATAACTTTCCTTATTACTGGCATGTATTTTTGTAACAAATATATGATAGAATATATATCAATATACTGTATCAATATTTTGGCTTTGAGTGTAGTACAGTAGTATATAAGAGATATCAATCAAATTCATGTAACAAGTTGTGCAATATTACAGCTTCTTTAACAGTGAAAAAGATACGGAGAGTGTTGACACAGTGTATCATCTGCCACACTATATATATATATATATATATATATATATATATTGAAGAATGACTTGTCAATTAGGAGATGGTCATTGCTTGCATGGTGTGTCGTTGTTCCTATAACTTATTTAAAAAGTGCATTTAATGTTCTTGGCACAAACTGCTCTTCTTGTACATTTGCACTCTTATAAGCTCCTGCAACTTTGTCGTCAAATACTAGACAAGAGAGTGGATAATACTGATTGCTATTGTTGGCAGCAATATACTGGGTGTATGACCAAGACATAGAAGGTTGACTCTGAATTAGTCACTACTTGCTTGTATCTTTCTTCCACCTTTTAAGTAAACAGGTATATTGTACCTTGTTTTACAACAAGGTTGCATTCCTTAAAGTCATAACTTAAGAAAAAAATAATTGTAATTAAGAGTTTTTGTAAATTGGGGTACACTTGTATTGGATTTAATGATTCTTGGGAAGATGAGAAACCCCAGCTTATTTCACCTGACAATTAATCACTAACCTAACACTCCAGGTAGCATTAGGGCATTTAATCAGCAGTTGAATTAAGTTGAGGTGCTCAATCTTTAAGGTGATTTGATTTGGTACAAGGTGATGTACTCTGGTAAGTCGCATCATTTTTATGGCACATTGTGTGAGCCTTACATCAGCACACTGAATATTTGATTTATTTGTTATTTTAGATTCAAAGTTTATGATTTTTGTCAGTGGAACATAATAGTCTTGGGTTGTGTAGCACAGTTACACTGATTATTTCTTTAGATTAACTGTCTTTGCTTTTTTTTGTGTGTGTATTTATGTAATAATTCTTTGATATTAGATAAAAAAGATACATTTAACAGCCTGTGACAATATAAATAGTTAGACATTCACCGCCCTCAATATTTTATTGTGGAAGTTAAAATACATACTGAATTATAGAATCTCCAGTTTTTGTGTTAAGAATCTCTGGGTGTTAAGAGGTTAAGCATAACAGTACAGTATTCATTGGCTGTGGTTCAGTTCAGTTACTGATAACAAATAATCTCTTAAGTTGCATTGTGGACATGTGTGAATACAAATTATTTTCCATTTATTGTTCATGTCACTCAAAAAACTATCTTTACGTGGGGAGTTGATGAATTTCAGAATGAACACTGCGACTCCTGTTGTCTTGGTAGGGTTGTCAAAATCCTTCGTCCTTTGCGTCATATTTTCTCAGCACAATTTTGTTGATAGTTTTTTGAGCAACTACACTATAAGCATTTTACACTTGGAAGACTATGTAAGAACAAGTCACATATTGGGTGTCTTAGGAATTTGAGTTACAGTACATGAATCAGATTGTTTATTATTTTTATCATTCTGTAGAAACTGAAAAGGTTCTTAGTTTTGAAAGTGATCTGTACTGTACCTGTTATGATTTAAAGTTTCTGTACTTAAATGGTCTGTTGTTATATGTGATTTATTACTATAATTTTATGAAGCCCTTTTGAGGCAGTCTTGAATTTGAACTCTAGGGCTAAATTTTTATGCTGTTGGTAGTGATGATCCTTACCTGCAGTACAGTAATATTTAATGGATTTTTCAGGTTGTAGTGAAAGGTTGGTGATGCTATTTGCAGTAGCTTTTAAGGTTGAAGGTCATTAATATCCAAAGTATGCACAGGAGACGGGCAGAAATGTTTTTAGATTTGTAATCATCAAAAAGCCAATCTTGAGAAACAACGTATCCACTGCCTTTTCATATAGACAGAATATGTTTGTGTATGTGTGTGAGTCATGCCAAATGGGGATAAATAGTCTGATTATGCCTTAAAACACAATTGACATTTGTGTTAAATAGGATTAATTTTTTTGTTTTTGTTCATTTTTGGTGGAAATTACTTTATATACAGTAAATCTTCTCTTTCATACAATTGTGTGTTTACCAATACTATTGTATAACCAAATTACTGTATACCTAAATTATGTTAGGTTCAGTCAGTGCTAGAGGCACTAATGTGGGACTTTAGGACTGATCTGCCCTGGGAGATACAGAAGTTTGAATGTGGAGAGAGGTGAGAAACAGCCTGAGAGTAGAACCGTACAAGTAGCTGTGGTTTCGCCCATGTAAGGGTGGAACAGGGCCATAAGACAGTAATGAGCGGAGTCAAAATTCTCACTACGCACAACAGTTCGACAATTAAGGTCATTTATATTTTATGGCTATAGTAGAGTAAATCTGTACATACTGTACAGTACTCTGAAATAATAATTGCCCTGTTACTGTATATAATGTAATTAGAAAGCCTTTATCTAAATGTCCAGCCTCACAAACTTTATTTATTATAAAGGTTAAGTGAAACTGATATCTATATACAGATACAGTAATACTTTTTATTGCCTAAAATGTTAACAAATAATGATATACATACTATACTGTACTGTATACACACTTCATAAAGTATCTTTATGGGGGTGGGGGGGTGTGTGGGTGTGTGTCTGATGAATTTAAAAATAAACACTAACTCCTGTTGTCACATAGTGTTATCAAATTCGTAACGATACTTTTTGGGGCGAGTGTACACTTAAGAGTGAGTAGAAAGTCTTTGTGTTATGGCTCTGAAAGTCTCACGTTCATTCATTTCTGAAGTATATTTCTTAGTAATTTTCTTTGGTGTTTAAAGCCACATTGTGAAAGTGTCAGATTAACTTTTTTTTAGCTTGTCTTGCAGGACTTCTCTAGGACCAGTAGTCATGAGGATGTCAGAAATGTACTGTTCAATAATCAATTCTCTTAAATCCTTGTCATTCCCATAATACTTAAATTATTCGATAGAATATATATATACTCTAATGTCCTAATGTTCTTCTGTTTCAGGTTCGTTTGGGCTGAAAAGCACAATTCATATCCCAAGTTAATCATTCCTCATGATACAAAGTTCGTTTGTGATATTTTATGGCCGTAAAATGATATTTTATTTATTACCAACAGGTTCACAAGAGTTTCTTATCTTAAAAGCAAAGGTTCATAAAAATTTTAACATGGCACTATTTTTATACAAAATTTCCCATAAAAAGCATAACATTTTGTATAAAAACAGTGCCACTATTTTTTTTTTTAGTTTAATACTATACTTGGTCACTGTTTAAGTAATACCTGTAGTAGTAGTAACCTAGTTCTATTATTATTTAATGTGTTGATTAATATTTTAATTTATTTATAAATATGAATATTTAAATTTTTTACTGAGTACTGTAATCAGTTCTGAACTTATTTTTTTTTAAATTATAATGACAGATATGCATGTGAGTGTGCACTTGTAACGAGGACTGTTATGTGGTGGTGGTTCATGACGTTTTTATAATTTTATCAAGAATATTTATTTTTGTTAGGTGTATTAAGAGTGAGCAGCTGCTTTCTGATTTCTCCGAATAAATGGTTTAACACAAAAATTTTTCCCATTAACCAAGACAATGGGCAAGTAATTGGCATTGCAAAAGAACAATGAAAATTTAAAAGGTGTCATTTAGACAAGTAATTATCCAGATATAAAATTTCTGACAACATATCCTTAATCAACATGTTCAGAAGTACTGAGATTTTGAACAATTGATGAGTTCAAGATTATGGCCGAAACGGATAATTTTCCCGCAACCCCTTTACTAGTTTCCATGATCACAATACATAAGAAAATTCCAATACTCTTTCTTTAATGCAGTATTGTACTCGGGCATTTTTTTTTTAGTTAATTACTACTGACCTCAGAATATATCCTATACCAAGTGCACATGGTTTCAAAATGGCCAAAAATACCCATAATAAAATCGGATTTAAAAAAAAAAATTCTAGGTGGGTGGAGCTTACAGTGCCTCCCAATCCTCCCCAGCTGGGTGGGCTCATGTACCCCCTACCCACAACCTTCACTGTTGACTAGTGCAGTGGTTCTTAATATTTATAGAGCTGTACCCCCTCCCCATAATCAACCTTGAATCCATTGCACCCCCCCTCCTGTTTTCCAAAGAGCCTAAAGAACACATTTTTTTAAGTTCCATCACCTTTCTACATGTAAATAAACAAACTCGTACAACTGCAGTATTTATAGAAACACGATTGTATTTCATCAGGAAGTAATGTTTGTGGAGAAGCAGCAATGCCAACCCTCTCATTACTTCCTGATGAAATACAATCGTGTTTCTATAAATACTGCAGTTGTACGAGTTTGTTTATTTACATGCAAGCTGTAGTATGATACACAGATATAAAGTTAACACGAAGTAATGTACAGTGAAATTACAAATACACTACTCACTCCTCCATTAAAGATTGAGGACAACTTAAGCTTACTGTAAGCATATAAAATTCAAAGATTTGTTGCTGTTAAATTTGTACAGCTCTTTATGAATAAATAACATTGAATATTTGAAAAAAATTACTATTTGCAATTACATTTTCTCAGGCATAAATAAAAATGTAATAAGATTGGGTTATCCATTTACTTTAACTAATTCATGCCAAAACTGTGCTTTTAACAGCAAAATTTGTTAGACAATTCTTAGTACAGTATCTTGACATCAATACAGAATTGATTTTTATTTACGGTTCATTAAATCATTTACCTTTAAAAATAAATCAGGTAACTGGATTTGCAGCAAGTCTAGTCTCCTTCAGGGTGTCTCTCAGTGAGGACTCCTGGGCAGCTATGGCCTCCTGTTCCACTTCTCCCCATCCAGGATGCCACAACCGACAAGATATTCTCTCCATGCCCAGTGCATACACTGAGTGACAAGGGAGAACACTTTTTTGTTTCTGTGGATTAAGTAAAATTGAATAAATTAGTATAAGAAATACTATTTGTTTATAAATCTGCTTAATCCCCCGGTTTAATGCACCAGAAAAAAAAGAAAGCAAAGAAATCCATGCCATTTTTTAAAAGAACCAAAGTTTAATACTGTATAAGCCAATCCAACCTATTCTACCCAAAACCATTTGGAGGTAATCAAGAGACAACCTCACCTGGAGTGCCTCAAAGAGATCCATATTAGTGATTGGTGGAAGAGGAGTGTCTATCTGAGGAGCACATGCAGCTAGGTGAGCTGCGTTCTGCTCAGCCGAATCTACGGTGGGCCAGATGGGACGGTCCCCGGCCTCTCCGCCTTCACCCGTGGGCAGCCCCAAACTTGTTGAAGAAAAAATAAATAAATTAAATTAGTGAATAACAGACAATTTTACAGATCACTCAAAGATTATCCATCCTAATGCTAACTGGGATTAGCATTATGATGGCTAATTTTCAGGGGAAATAAGCTGGAGTGTCTACCATATATTGTCCGGTGATTCATTTATGGTGATATAATACAAATCCAGTAATACAGTACTGTATATGATAAAATACTGTACAGTACTATTCAGTGTGAAGAATCTAGTGACCTCAGAACTTATTTGTCATTCTAAATATTCTAAAAGTTTTTAATTATTTCAAGGGTCATTAATTAACACTAATTACTTGAAATTTTAAATTATGAATCCATATCCTTAATCAGCATGTAAAAGAGTACCTTTGTATGAAATTTGAACAAAATCTACATCATGACCATGTTTGGCGAAATGCAAGATAATAGGTCAGGCGTTTTCGGAGCGACAAATGGCTTTTTTATGGAAAATAAAAACTAACACGCTAATGTGGTAAAGTTAGTCTATAGTTGTGAGAAGATCTATATAAAGGTGATTTAAAACTTACCGGAACAGCGTAATTGACGTTCTAAATATTCCAAAATTTAATTTTTTATTTCAAGGGTCATTAATTAAAACTACATTAAAATAATAAAAATTCTGAATGCAGATCCTTAATCAGCTTGGCAGGCCATTTGAAAATTGCATGTGATCTGTTTCCTAATTCTTAAAAATACTGCAGGTGTTTTTGAAATACCAAGTGACTAGTGGGCCAAAAGACTATAACTAGTTGGGTAAATACAAGGACTAGTGGGAAAAAATGGCCCACTAGTCCTGAATGACACCTCTGTCAGCCTATAGTGCAATTAGTCCACGTTTGTGAGAGTTAGCCATGATTGTATGATGATAGCTCTTGTGGAGTCTTCCTATTTCACAAATGCAGCTGCCACTTATGCTGATTTAATCAATGATTTTCTATATATAATATTTACCTCTCTGATGCCCAGTCACTAAGACCAGCAGTGTTTCTCAACCAAGGGTTGGGAGGAGTGGTGCCCAGTGAGTGCATGAAGCGCCCTTCTCTTATACGGTATCCACGTCGCCTGCTTATTACGGCCATCAGTATGTTCTTTAAACACTGCTGTAAAATAAAAAATAATATCTATATTTTGTGTTTCCATAAAATACCTGGTAATACTTAATCATATCCTACTACAGCAAATCTCACTAGAGTTATCCACAGAATCCTTTTCTGAAAATACTAAAAAATCCATCTGAATGCTTTGAATAATCCTGACATATGGCAACATGATTGATGTTTCAGTTAGAGAGATTATAGTAAGTTGTATAGGTTGGTTAGATTAGGTTTGGTACGTTACACACAGTCGGGGAGTTTCAGTTTAATATTTTTCTATACGACAATGATGTGCAAATATTAACACTGTACAGATTAACCACCCTCATGCTAACCTAACACTATCCCCACAAGGTAATACTGTTCTGGGTTAGTTCATCATCTGGTGAAGTGAGTTGAGATGGTTACTTTTCAGTTGATCCAACTGCTATAAAATCTTTTTGTACTGTGCTCTTGTTTAGTCTCTGTCTCCCTAACAGTGCTTGTCAGACACCATTGCAGGTCTGTCAAGGATAAGTCACCAAATTTTAAACAACTAATTGAAACAGTGTCACCCTCACCCTAAACTTCCTCCTTGAGTTTTCATATACAACAAGCAGGAATACCAAAGATGTACCGGTAATTATTCTATATGACATAATTTTCCCTTACCACTTTTTTCTGGTTAAATCTTCAAAAAAAGGTGAATTATATACCACACCTGAGTTGCCTCTTGGAGCATGCTAGCTACATTATCTGCCACTTGGGTAATGCCGTGGTCCCAGGCTGCCAGGAGCAAGCGACCTTTGAGGGGTCCAGTGTCCAGCAAACACATGGAACGAGACATGTAACCAGCACCTGCATCTGTGATGGCTTGTGGCTCGTGTAATGTGGCTGTGGCAGCGATATCTTGAACACTCACTGCCTCAAAATTGTTCTGAAAAAATAAAAAGATGAAAATGACAAATCTGGTTAAGTAAAAATGACTAATATTCTTTAACTGGAGACACTATATACAAACATAGTAGTTAAGAATATTATAAATACTGTACATACTCTTGGATAACATGAAGATTAAACCCTTAGTTTATTTCACCTTAAGATTAACTAACCTAACCTATAGTATCCATAATGGTCTCCTCAACCAGTAACATCAACATAACATAGGAGAGCTTCCCACAATTAAAATTAATTTAAGTACATTTTGTACATATTTCTACAACACCTAAAGTCACTGTACATGTGGAAGTTTGCACAGTCTTGTGTTGTGTCAGGGTTACTAGTTGAGTAAGTCCACTCCTGGGTGTTGCATAAAAAATATTGATTTAGTATCCTTAATGTTATTATTCAATTCTGTACTCTTTCTTTTATTATATAATTATGTAATTGATGTTCTAGTAAAATGTTGTGTCATATACAATGATGCTAATCAACGTAGTGTAATCGCAGTATAGTTAGCAAGTGACAGTATCCCATAAATTCCTTCTAATATACAGTACTGTACATATAATAATAAAAAACACACAGCATACGTACATCATGTGAAGGTCGATTAGATTTAATCTTCTTCTTCGGCTTGAGTTTCTTGCGATCGGCAGATGTCGTTGAGTACAGGTTAACAGAAGCGGCGTGATCTCTAGTCCCAGTTGCTCCCACTCCTCCTCCAGGCTCTATACGCTGATGACAAAAGGAGTTGAGTTAAGTCATGTAGACACCATAACCGAGAGAAACATCCGGTTGTGTGTCTCTCTCTCTTGTAAACTTCATTCACCAGTCAAAATCTTCCCCTGGGCAGGTTGTACATGAAGGTCTTGTACCCAGATTCTGACCAATAACTAACCTAATACTGTACACCTGATGCTCTTAAATACCAGAAATTATTAAAGTTTCATAGCCAGGATCAATCCTCTGCCATTACAAGCCTCCATAACAATCTACTATACACAAACCAGATTAATCTTAAATATATTGGCAACAAGTGTTAAGATGGCATTTACAAAACAACATGAAAATTCTCAAATATTTTCTGCCAACTAAACTGATATTTTTGACACCTAAATGAAAATAAATAAAAAGGTTTATTCCTCTCTAATGTAAATGATTCATTCTTTCATATAAATGTGTAATAAATGAATGACTAAGACTGTCAGATGAAGTGAATACTATATACAAGTTTGTCAAGTATTTTGATATCAATTATACCTACATAAATACAGGTACAGTATCTTAATTAACCCAATTTGTAGAACATATATTCTACATTAACCAAAAGAAATTGCTAATAACTTTATCTGTAGACATGTTGGTGTATCTTTATCTATCAAAATACTACATTAAGCAGCAAAGACTCACTTGATCATCGTGACGGTGGTGAGTTTCGGAGCGAGAGGCCGAGGTGGAAGAGGTGAACAGCTGACACTTAGTGAGGATGGCCAGCAGGAACTCATTGTGTAGGTGTACTGAGTTGAGAGCTAACAGGTCCCGAGCATTTGTGTCAAATTCTTCTTTTGTTATCTGTGATTGAAAAAAAAAAATATACAGTAAAATATAATTATTTACAGCTCTGCTTTGTGATTTTATTTTATTTTTATATTACAGTGAAACCTGTATTTACTGGACATTACGTATGTAAATGAAAGTCCGTTATGTTGAAGCTCCGTTAATGTGAAAATCTCACATCTCATGGATTATATGGAGAGAGAAGTCCATTATATAATAGGCAGTGGATATTTTGCCGTGACCGACGAAGTTCTTACTAACGTTCTTTTCCCATGAGTGAGCTCTGATTGACTTATCATATCAAAATGACGGTAAATTTTTACTTTAGTACATGAGTACCTAGGGGTTGACCAATATGTTTTTCCCAGTGTATTTTGGTGTGTTTTAAACGAATCCGACCTTCATTTTTGGTGGAAAGTGATAGCTTTGCCCCCCCCACACACAAAATAATGGGGGAGAGCCTGGAAAATCGGGGTTTTTGGGTGGGGGAGAAAACAAAAACGAGTCATTTGACCTAACAAAACCTAACCTAACTCCTAGCCAGGAGCTCCGCCCCTGGACCCCCGGTAGGCCTAACCTGACCCCTAGCCGGGAGCTCTGCCTCTGGAACCCCCGTAAGCCTAGCTCAAACTAACTAAATGTTTCAGTCGTTAAAAACTTTGGGGCGCGCCATGTCCTAAAGTACAATACCTAAGTTAGAAGTGGAAGGACCAGGGATAAGTAAGAATTGGATAGAATAATTGTATTTCTCGTAAAACTCGGCAATAAACTTAAAATAATCGTAGGAGCACAAATGATAACCAACCTCCACCATGGCCAATTGGCCATTGTGAGACCGGTCAATGAAATTACCCAGGCTGCTGCCTTTGAAAAAAATCAAATGTGATTGGTTGAAAAAAATTCGCGTGAAGATATCAATACCTCATTGGTCACGACTGGATGACGTCACTCAATATTGCACATGCATGATGTGCCGATAACATCTCCTCACAGACGAAGACTGAAAACTACTTAAAATCAATTAAATTCAATTGTGTCACTATTATCCATTTCCGCCATGTATATGTGGGTTCAAAATGCTCAGAATGGCGAGATCTAAATGATTCAATAGTTTATAACTTTCGGGGGCGCTATGTCCGAAAGTGAAAAATACCAAAACGACAATGCACAGAACCTAACCTAACCTTACTTAACCTAACCTCACATAACTTCCTAATCTGTACATTGTCATTTCTATTTCCTACTAAAACAACATCTCTAGAAAACATGAATGTTGTGGAAATTTTGTGATATTGTTTGCCGGTAATGGATGATCAGCCAACCACAGTGCACTCACGGTAAAATAGTATTAAAAGGAACTTAGCCAGTCACGGCAAAATATCCACAGCGTATATAATACTATAATTAACAATAACCAAATTTTAGAAACACCTAAAGATTAATCCCCCTGACTTATATCACCATAAAATTAAACCCCCTAGCACTAACCTAACCTAACCTAACCCTCCCCCAATGAAGCATTAAAATGTCAAATCAAGTGAAATAAGCTAGTGTCTAATCATCAGGTGAAATAAGCTAGTGTCTAATCATCAGGTGAAATAAGCTAGTGTCTAATCATCAGATAAAATAAGCTAGTGTCTAATCATCAGATAAAATAAGCTAGTGTCTAATCATCAGATGAAATAAGCTGGGGTGTCTAATCATCAGATGAAATAAGCTGGGGTGTCTAATCATCAGATGAAATAAGCTGGGGTGTCTAATCATCATATGAAATAAGCTGGGGTGTCTAATCATCATGAAATAAGCTTGTCTAATCATCAGGTGAAATAAGCTGGGGTGTCTAATCATCAGATGAAATAAACTGGGGTGTCTAATCATCAGATGAAATAAGCTTGTCTAATCATCAGGTGAAATAAGCTGGGGGTGTCTAATCATCAGATGAAATAAGCTGGGGTGTCTAATCATCAGGTGAAATAAGGTTGAGTGTCTAATCATCAGATGAAATAAGCTGGGGTGTCTAATCATCAGATGAAATAAGCTTATCTAATCATCAGGTGAAATTGGCGGTAAAGGTGTAGAAGAGGGTGACCACCAGAAGGAATGGACAATTTATAGTACAGTATCACACCGGTCTTTATTTCGATATTAAAAATAGGTTTTTCCTGTTTCCACTGGAAATCACGTGTTTTTGTGGATTCCCCCACCGAACAGCCATAATGGAAAAAGTTGGATTTATTTTTTAGAATAAATAACAAATTATATTCCCAACCAACCAAGAAAACCTAACCTACCCTAAACCATTGTGCATGCCCCAGACGCATAAAGGGGGAAAACGGAGTAAACAAATCATGGTGACACTTGTGACTAAGCAAAAGCAATAATCTTGAAAAATTAATATCTTGGTTATCCTTAATTTCCGGTGGAAATATCATAGAAGAAAATTGTCTTAGAATTGTGTAAACATTACGAGATACATATTTTTAATGCGCAAATAAAGACCGGTGTGATACTATAAATTCACCGAAGGTATTGTCTGAATTTGTTGAAATTTTGTCTACACACTAATATATTAAACACAAAAATGGAAACATAAATGCTTAGAACCTGACCTAACATACCCAACCTATGGGTATGTTAGGTCAGGTTTTATCAGGTTCTATGCATTGTCGTGTTAATGTGTTAAACCACTTACCTCAATATTGAGGTTGATATACATCAGCAATGGTGAGGAGGAATACGTGGAAGCGTTTACCATCATTTAGGAAATGTCTCTTGAACAGGGATTCAGCTTAACTAAACAACAAAAATGGCGCCGGGAGGAGAATTGTGAAGCGGGATAGTGTAAATATAAAGATTGTCAGGTTCTAATAGGTTCTATGCATTGTCGCTTCCATTTGTGTTTAATATGTTATTAGCATTATATAAAAAATAAATACAAAATAATGCATAGAACCTAATAAAACCTGACCTAACATACCCATAGGTTGGGTATGTTAGGTCAGGTTCTATTAGGTTCTAAGCATTGTCGTTTACAGTTTTGTGTTTAATATATTAGTGTGTAGATAGAATTTCAACCAATTCGAACAATTCCTTCTGGTGGTCACCCTCTTCTACACCTTTAGCAAAATAAGCTAGTGTTTAATCATCAGGTGAAATAAGCTGGGGTGTCTAATCATCAGGTGAAATAAGCTGGGGTGTCTAATCATCAGATGAAATAAGCTAGTGTCTAATCTTCAGGTGAAATAATCTAGTGTCTAATCATCAGGTCAAATAAGCTGGGGTGTCTAATCATCAGGTGAAATAAGCTGGGGTGTCTAATCATCAGATGAAATAAGCTAGTGTCTAATCTTCAGGTGAAATAATCTAGTGTCTAATCATCAGGTCAAATAAGCTAGTGTCTAATCATCAGGTGATCCATTACCACACTAAACACTTACCAACATTACTCCACTCTCTTAAACCAAAAGAAAACAACACAACACGGAGAAGGAGTGATGAAAGAGTACCAGGAGTGTGTTAATAATAAGGTCCTTACCCTAATAAGGTCCTTACCCTAATAAGGTCCTTACCCTCATTCTGAACCACTGTTTCATGTGGTAGAAATATTTCATCTTCTTGTCAGGGCCGAGAGCTTCTTCTAACCTCTTCCGGGCAGTATTGAGGTGGTCAGAGGGTGATACAGACGCCATAATATTCACAACTCCTTTATAACTGACCTAATATATACCCTTAGTGTTAAGAACTATCCTAAAACGCACATAAATGTTCAAATACGGTCACAGAACCACACAGGCACCGACACACTGTAGCACTGTTTACATGGTCATCACACTGTTCCGACTCCTCATCAACCGAACCCTTTGACTCAGTTCCGAACCCCGACTCCAGCGACTTAGGTTTCATTACTTATAAAAGATAATTCTGAGTTTTGTGATATTTATATTATTCCTGACTATTATTATCATCTTATCATCACACATTTAATTTTTTATTGCTTTTCATGTAGGTTTAGGATATATTGATATTGTATTTCACCTTCATTGTTTTCCTAAGGCCACGTGATTGTTGTAGGCCTACAATTTTCTTTATGTGGATATTAATTTTTATTAGGAATATAATTTTTAATATATATTATAAAAATCAGGTTCATTACATAAGAATTTAGCTGTTGTATCCATTTGCTAGTCACATAACAATACCCATGTACTGTATAACAGGTCCGTGTACAGGTGTTCTACAGGTGTTTACCCTACACTCGTAATTAAAAGGATCACCTGATGATTAGCCAACCCAGCTTATTTTACCAGCAGATTAACCACACTAATGCTTCCTGGTTCGGTTAGGTTAAACAAGCTAAATCAGGTGATTCAAATGAATTCACAAGAAATATTTACTGTACTAAATATAAATTGGGTCACTGTAAAAAAAAAGTATTTCAAAACTGTTGTAAAGTTAATCACTTGTGGGGTATGGGTTGTTTGGTTCACACTCAGGATGGTTGGAGAAAGGAAACTCACAATGTGCTCTCTGTATACATGTTGTATTGGATGTACAATGCAGCTTGGTGCTGGGAAGTGGCAGCATGGTTACAAGCGTGATGTAGAGAGAGCTGGTTGGTGAGGATGCTCAGAGGAGGACCAGCTTGTGGGTCGCCATGCTGACGGCGGGAGCGAGGGCCGCCAGGCAGGCGGAGGAGGAGGAGGTGTTGCTGGCTGGTTGGTGTAGGTAGAAAGAGAGAGGTCACCACGAGGTCAGGTCTTAAATAGCAGGGGGGTAGGCGTGGCTTAGTAGTTGACCCCCGCTCCGTGATGTATGGCGGCGCTGGTTGACCTAGACCACGAGGCATACACTGGGGAATTCGCGGGGTCGGCTACTCAGTGACAAACAGCGTTTGTAGGGGAGAAATCCACTACACACTCTTACTATTATTGTATCACCGCATTCCAGAAGAGGATCCAGGATATTTTAATGGAAATTCAGACTTTGACCAAGTTTTTTTTTTTTTTTTTAATTATTTATTGGGCACTCCCCTACATCCTTGTGTAAGGTGAAGCGCAGAAGCGTTTATAGCGCCCAACAGGGAAGCATGCTAAGTTCATGCTTGCCTTTATGTCTCATGAGTTAAGGGCGTAGCCTGAAAAGTCAAGGGCGTAGAAGCCTGAAGAGTCAGTGGTTTATGTCATCAAGTTATTGGAAGCTCCAACAACTCCCTGAATACGAATTCACAACTTTCAACTTACAACAGGTACCTACTTTACTGCTAGGTGAACAGGGACTAATGGGGGCTAGGAAGTGTGTTCAAACAACTTCCACCGGCCCGGGAATCGAACCCGTGACATCTCGCTTGCGAAGCAAGAACGGTACCGCTTCTACCACCGGTCCCCCCCTTTGACCAAGTTCCTCAATGAATAGAAGCGGTCACATGCGAGATTAGGTCACGTTAAATGTTCCTGGAGCAGGGGGTTGGCCACCTCCATTATGATACCTACAGACCTTACTGTACAGACACTCAAAAAACTATCCTTAGTTCGGGGGTTCAATAAATTTCAGAATAAACACCGCAATACCTGTTGTATGGTCAAGTTGTCAAAATCCTTCATCGGTTGTGTCATACTTTCTCAACACAATTTGGTGGAGCTAATTTATTGAGTGACTGTATATGGCTTACTGTCCTCTCCTCTGTTTTTACCCGTGTTCTCCGGCAGATTTTACTGTACATGGTAATGAACTCAACAACGGCACACTAAGCACATGTCTTTAGTTAATTCGAGGACCAGGTGCTGTATTGTGCTATTGAGAGAGAGAGAGAGAGTAGTGTGTTAGATTAAGGTGACCTTAGTTGGCTGGACAAATCTATTTCTCTTTGCTGACTCCTCTATGACCTTGATCTTAGACAGACTTAAATTTGGTACAGTATTCTATTTGTACAGTAATTGTATCAGTACATGAGTTATACACCAACAAACAACAGTTCAGACATTCACTAGACAGGAGGGAACCACATAATATCTACAGCTCCTCCCCGACTTACGACGGGGTTAGGGTCCCAAATCCAGGTCGTAGGTCGAAAATGCTTAAATAATACATAGGAAATCTAAAATAGGTGTCTCTTTTTTTCTCAGCACCACAAAACTCTCACTTTTAAGCTTGCCAGCCATTTTAAAGTGAATTACAAACGAAAATTTTGTCTGTACTGACATTGGGACTCGAAAATAAGTAATTTGACAAAATTTTGGTACGAATGAGGCAGGTTGTAAGTGCGGGTAGTCGTAAGTCGAGGAGATCATAAGTCGAGGAGAAGCTGTTATGTCAATACGTATAAAAGCCACAAAATGTTTCTTAATTTCTTTAAACACAATTACAGTATTGTATAGATATTAATAACTTCCATCTATGTTAAAAGTATTAAATGCTAGTCTTGCTCTTATAAAGTTCATATCCAACAATACAGGATAATACAAAACAGGTACAGTACTGCACTGTATTAATACCTCACTCTGGGTCATTAAAAGTTAATACAGTACTGAAGTGTAAACCAACATATTTTAAAACTATATAATAAAGGGAAATAAATTGCCACATATAAGTCATGTTCATATTTATTCACATAGAGTAAGGTGCTATGGACTTGGTATTCAACAATGTAACTTGCTTGGGTAAGTCTTTCTTAAGGACAGATTTGCATCATGTAAATTATAAATGAGCCTTCAGCTAACTTGGTTACAATTACTTGAATGATAAATTATAGTAAAGGAACAAGTGGCTATAATTTTTAGCTTTTGCAGAATAATGAAAAAGGAAAACATAAAATCCTGTATGGTATTTGTAACTACATTACATAGAGAGAGATTTACAGTTTTGCAGTTCTCATACCTTCAGTAAACTATCCAGCAATCTGAAACACAGTACTGTAGATTAGATTCTTTGCCCAATGGTCACCTTTAAGTCTTGATTGGTCGTTAAACTGTTATTTCATTCTAATTTCATGGTTCATTGATTCAGTCATTAACCAGCTGGTCCGAGATCAATAGGCGACGATGGTGTAAATCCCACAGGTATTACTATTAAAAGGTACAGTACAGTATATGACATTAAATACAAACAATAAAGATTTCGCAACATTATTGTTTGTTTAGATTTAGAAAAGGATAAAATAGAATTTATACCAACACAATCAGTATCTATTGGTTTAATAAATGACTAACAAAACAAATAGCTGAAAATTATACAAAGGATATTTCTATGAATGTGTGGTACAGTACAGTACTGCTTCACCCATTCAAATAATGAGCAAGCTGACTCCCCAGGGGCATCAATATAACCCTAATCTAAGTATCATTGTTTCACTCTAGATATGAAAATAATGTGTACTGGAGGAACAAGATTAAGGAGAAGGAAGTAAATGGTTACAACAGTGGATGAAAAGGAGGAAGAGCAAGAGGAAGGATAAGAAAACTCGACCATGATTGAGGATGATGTAGGTAGCCCATCATATTAACTCCGATGAATGGTGTCGCAAAACTGTGCCTCAACTTGGCGTAGGTAGTCATGATATGAAAGCTGTTCAGTGTACCAAATTACTTTATATTTGTAGTCATTCTCAAGTTACTGAATTGAAATGTCTATACTGTATATGGTTCCCTCAATTGGTTTTAATAGAGACATAAATGAAGAGAGAGAGAAAAGCCTACAAGTTGTGTTCATAGGACACATACGCTCCACTTTGCATCAAGACTGCAAAGGCTAACCACCTAAAAGGAGCTTAATGCAAAGAATCATCTTAAATTTTATAAGAATCAATCATACGATAAGTCACAGTGAACTCAATGTAATGTTATAATAGCCATCAAGATTCATGGTCATGTGATGCTTCATAGCCAATAACATTTAGGAAACGTCCAGTCATGTGTGGTGATCCAAAGGTACAGAAGGATAGAGATGTTTCATTATTGAAAGCCAGCTAAGATTAGTTGGGAGGAGGAGTTACTACTACAAGTGTTCCATTGACTATGTAGACATGCACCCTGGAGAGATACTGGACCACCTGAAGATTAACCACTCTAATACTGTACTACCCCTGAAGGAAGGGGGTAGGTTAGTGTTAGGGAGTTTAATCATCAGGTGAAATACACTGGGGGCCCTGACCTTAATATGATCCAAATTACCTAAATACAAATAAAGTAAACTTACAAAAATAAAAATGGACTCTGTAATTCACCCCACATAGAATTTTTTCCAACTCTTAAACTCACCCTTATTATAAAGTTTCTTCACTGTCTCCCTAGAACCTCAGTCTCAGTGTCAGGGCCTCTGAACACCACGGAAGAAGTCACACTCTTCCTTGGAGATGGATTAGAGGAAGTACTGTACTGCAGCCTCTAAGATTCCTTGAATTACTGTTGGTATAGGTGTAAAAACATATAAGAAACATCATCCAAAATACCCACCCAGCTGCTGCCCATCGAGTAGTAGGCGGTAATGCCATCACGCAAACAATGCACGACCGGTAGCCCAACCAATAAACCCCGAAGTGGACCACCACCAAGCCTAACAATGACCTCAATCAATCAGTGCCATCTTCACATCTAAAAATCTGGCAACCACAATCCTTTACTCCGATTATTCTTAGGTTATTCTTACTGATTCTACCTGATTTTGTACTTCTCAGGGGATCCATTTCATTCATCCATCTTAGTCTCTATCTCATCCTGGTTCTCCTGACTCTGTTCCACCCATTAATATTTCCACCATTATCCTCTCAACCCTAAATATATGGCTTCTGCAATTATTAGATATAAAAAATCATTCAATGCCGTTTTTGCTAAATTAA